CAGGCAGGGACGTAGATGTCAGCGACGTTGAACTGCTTGAAGAGTGTTGGCATCGGGTGCAACTGGAATGTGTTGCCTTGGATGAGGCTTCCTGCCTTTGACCCGGGAGCTGTGCACGTGCGTGTGCCGGTGCTGCCTCGAAGAGTTCCAGGACAGCCCTAAGTCCCTAAATCTAGAGCTTAGCGTTAGGACTTAGGGTTTGGCTTTTTACTACATATGCCATCAAGCTATAGCTCACTAACAATTCACGACACTGTTTATATTGGGAGCCGCCTTTTTGGGCAATTGAAAGCACCCTAAACCCTAAACCCTAAACCCTAAACCCTAAACCCTAAACCCTAAACCCTAAACCCTAAACCCTAAACCCTAAACCCTAAACCCTAAACCCTAAACCCTAAACCCTAAACCCTAAACTTAAGTCCTCAGCCTCGGCCAAACATATGGACCAAGCCTCAGGAGGGCTGCACTTTGGCGGTGCTGCCATGCAGCCACGCCTTTTGCGAGGCCAGGGCATCCTGTGAGGTTCAGGGTCTAGGGTTTAGGGTTTAGGGTTTAGGGTTTAGGGTTTAGGGGGTGCACAGAGATTGCAAGATTGTGCAACATGGGTGCAGTCTGGCTGAGCTACACCTAGGGCAATGGAATCCTAGACCCAATGATGGGCAGTCATGAGCAACAATGAGCAGCAATGAGCAACAATGAGCAATACTGAGCAATATGAAGCAGGTGCTCCGAACGCCCAGGGCGAATGATGGCAAACGGGCAGAAAGAGACCCATGGTGTGGCTCACAACTCTTCAAGCCGCTAAAGGAAGGGGGGGTTGGGTTGGAGGCCTTGTGACGCGGAGTCTCGCCACAGATCCCAAAGAAGCCCCAAAGGTTGGTAAACCAGTTTGCTCGCGCAAAAGGAGGTTTGGCTGAATGAGAACAGCCGCACAAGGTAGAGAAGGAACAGGTCGCCAATGTAGGTTTAGGGCTTAGGGCTTAGGGCTTAGGGTTTAGGGTTTAGGGTTTAGGGTGTAGGGTTTAGATGTTAGGGTTTATGGTTTAGGGTTGCAATGTCTCTGCGACACTTGTCAAAGGACGATTTGCCAAGGTGATCCCCAGTCAAGCATGAACACCGTGCAGGGTGAGTCCAAGGAAAGTTGCATGGTAAATGTCCAACCAAGAACAGGCTAGCTCCATGTCTTATCAATGGAGTGCTTCGATTGAGGATGTGATGTTCATGAGAGCTCCCAATGATGAGCTCGTGGCGCTTGGTTCTCTGGTTTTTTTGCTGGGCCGCGAAAAATTGAACTACCAAAGAACGACAAAGCTGAAGACAAATCTTGAGAATCGCCGCTGCCATGTTGCAGCATTGCGGTTCCTCCGCGGCTTTCGCGGCCGTGAACATGGCAAGCGCCAATGCAGATACGACGTTTGAAAATCAACGTTCGGCATGTAGTTCTCGGGTGTGGGCGGGCTTCGAAGACTCGCTGGTTCTTTGTAGGGAATGAGGGAATGAGGTAATTACCCTATTATATACCCATTCAAGGGAGAATATAGGGTACCTCATTCCCTCGTTTCCTACAAGGCACCAGCCAGAAGATCAACGCTCGGTGTTCGGATGTTGGGAGCCAGGGGGCCAGCTGCGTACTTCAAAGACAACGTTTGGAACTTGGGTTTAGGGTTTAGGGTTTAGGGTTTAGGGTTTCGGGTTTCGGGGTTCAGGGTTCAGGGTTCAGGGTTCAGGGTTTATTGATTGGCGAGGCTCCGGTGTCTTGGAAATGACGACGGAACGACTTCAGATGCAGTCGGGCGTTACTACTCAGGGTCAAACGGCCAAGATCAAATTGCATGCAACTTCATGAGCTTTGAGCACGCAGACAAGCTGCGGTGCATGGCGGTGTAGCGTAGACTGCAAGCTGGAAGAATGTTGGTTTGCGTTAAGGCTTGCTGTCTCTGTGAGCGCGCGCGCGGGTGTGTGTCTGTGTGTGTGTGGGTGTGTGGGGTAAAGCTTCGTTGTTCGCATCTTGCCGCTCTGAACATGTCGCGAACAAGAAATTATAAAGCTTCTGAAGTACAAAAGTACAAACCCGAAGCATAGTGTCTTCTGCGGAGGTATGTAAAATCGGCTTGATACCCTGAACCCTAAACCCTCAGCCCGAGCCTACGCGCCGTGTACAGCTTAGAAGCACTCAATCCTAAACCTCAAGTCCTAAACCCTAAACCCAACCCCCAACCACACCACAACACAGGGGGTTTGGGGGGGGAGTACCATGGGTGGGAAAGGGGGGGATCGGGCAGGCTTGATCACAGATATGAGCATATACTGTAAGGGGCGTTTTGGCGAGGACTGCATCGCGAAGTGGTCGCTGTCTGGGCATGCCATGTCTGAATCTGGGCTGCAGAAGGGCTGTGTGAGAATCCCTGAACCCTAAACCCTAAACCCTAAACCCTAAACCCTAAACCCTAAACCCTAAACCCTAAACCCTAAACCCTGGGACGGCTTTGCAAAGGCCACCTGTCCGCTCTGCCGTGCAAGCTTCGCAAAGAACCCTGAGCGGCTCAGCATCTGGCGACCTGACTCTGACTTTCGTTCGTTTCGGGGTGACTCAGGTTCAGGGTTTAAGGGGTTTAGGGTTTAGGGTTTAGGGTTTAGGGTTTAGGGTTTAGGGTTTAGGGGTTAGGGGTTAGGGTTTAGGGTCATCACGGGCAGGGCTCAGACGGGGAAGCAGCCCGGCATGTTGTGTTGGGGACATGTCTACTGCACCCTGGACACGAAGGTGAAGAAAGCTACATGGATGGGCTCTGGCTCCCATGCGGCTTCTGAGAGAGGCAGTTGCTGGACATCCAGTTCCGGCAAAAGCAGATGGGGGGTTTACGAAAAGCTGGCCCCAAATAGAGATCCCAAATAGTATCCCCTTTTTATAAGAACCCCAGTAAGGTACCCCCTAAGTTCGGAAACCCCCAGATCACCTGTGAGCTTGTGTCGCACAGCTTGCCTTTGTAGATTCATCGGTAAGGTCGATACTTGTCCATATTTCAGTCTCATGGCGCGATCTGGCAAAAGGGACGAGCTTTGATTCGACCACCGGGATCGCACGACGCGCCGATGGCAACCCTAAACCCTAAACCCTAAACCCTAAACCCTAAACCCTAAACCCTAAACCCTAAACCCTAAACCCTAAACCCTAAACCCTAAACCCTAAACCCTAAACCCTAAACCCTAAACCCTAAACCCTGAACCCTGAACCCTAAACCCTAAACCCGAAGCCATGAGGTCGGCGGACTGGACCTTTTCGAAACCCTCGAGCAGATGCGGAAGATTCCCGTGCGGCGCCTGGCTGTCACACTAGGGCAAAGGCCAGCCCGCCGCATCGCGGGTTTAGGGTTTAGGGTTTTAGGGTTTTGGGGTTTTGGGGTTTTGGGGTTTCGGGTTTAGGGTTAGGGTCCGGGAATTGTGCTGGGCCCATGGTTGTGTCATTGGGTTCGCGGTTTGAGCCAGAAGCCGTTTCAACATCCACTTCAAGTCTAGGATGATCGAAGCCTTGGAGCTTTAAGACTGACATGTGCCCAGTTCACAGCAAGGATCTGTGCAAGTTCCTTTGCAAGTCAAAGCATCCCTAGGCACTCTGAAAGTTTGAAAGGCTATGAACTTAAAGAGTAAGCAGGGGCTTGTTCGCCATCGGTCAGAGACAAATGCAACGTACTACTTTCTCTTTTCCCATCCGTTTTCAGAAAAAAATCCAAAGGAACAAAGCACTTGCTGAGAAAGATGTCCAGACTAATCATGTTGAATGCTTTTGTGCAGCAAACGTGTGCAGAGGTTGGTGAACACTGAACAGATCTTTAAGCCCATGTGACATATTAGATATTGTTGATGGTGTATTTGGTAGGTGCTTTGAGGAGGGAAGCTAAACCAGTCCGCGAAGGAAAAATAACTGCCAGAACAGGTACACGATGCACACATGGGTAGTTCTCTAAATTAGGGTCCCTTTTTGGCATCCCGTTTCAAAGGGTGCCGCCTTATAATGGGTACCCAAAATGGGACCCTAATTTAGGAAACTGCCCCCCATGTAAGGCAGAGTGTCTCAAGTCTCGCAGGCACGCACGCAGGCAAGCACATAGGCCCGCACGCACGTACGTTTCCCTCCAGGTTCTTTTTTCAAAGGGCTTGGGCTATAGCCAAAATTGAGGAGAGTTCTTTTGCTATGATCATGTCGAGACAGGGCTCGTCTAATAAAGAAAAATAGAGACTTGTGGAACCCAAACGCAGATCTAGGGGTTTACCGGCGGCTTCCTACTCAAATATAGAAGAAATTAAACAGAGGTTTACGCTAAAAAAATGTAGGGGCAAAAGCGGTTTGCTTCTGAACATGTGAAGAATCTAGCAGCTTATGGTTTAGGGTTCAGGGTTTAGGGTTTAGCGCAAGACAAGCCTAGACCCTTTACGTCATGGAGGACCTGGGACACATAACTAGCATCATGAAGCCTCGTAAAGCAATAGTATAGGTTTGATTGTTTTGGGTCTTTGACGGTCTTTGATTTTTTTTGCAGCGGCGGACGAGTAGTGGGTGTGGGACATGCTCAGTTTGTCCTCCCCCTCCATACGACGGCATGCCTTGCGGATCATGGGAGGGCGGACGAGCATATGCGGCAATATCTAAACAAAAAGTTATATATGCACACATGTGTGTAGGCAGTGGTTTCTGCCGAGGTGGCGACTGCCCGGGAGATCATGCGGCAACTGTTGGAGTCGACTTTTCACGTATTTGAGCAGCCTAGCTTCCACTGAGAGTGCAGTTCATGTAGCCCATCGACGGGGAGGTTGGCAAACCTAAACCCTAAACCCTAAACCCTAAACCCTAAACCCTAAACCCTAAACCCCTGGAAGGCTGTTTTTCGCCAGGTCCTTGGTGTTTCTGCATTCGCACGGTGCTGTGCACAAGGCGGGCCTCACTCGTCCAACGCCTGAAGTAAGACAGACGCTGGCTTGTGGCAAGATAAGTTGAAGATGAGCTCATGCAGGACTTGAAGTTGGAGAATGTAATGCTCGATTCTGGTGGAGATGGCAAGTCTTCGAAGCACGTATCCCAGCTTGGGGAAGTTTGGACAAGGGGTTGCGTGGCCGTAGCCGCGCCTTGCAGCATGTGTCATCCTTTGTCCTACCTTTGTCCGTGCTTTTGCCAAGGTCAAGCCTGCCAGCGCAAGCGGTGAAGGCTGTGGCTGTGGCTCCGTGAGTCACGTGCACGACGTGACGCATGATGCTACTGGTAGTGCGCGGTGATCACGTGGTGTCAGGTTGTGTGTGTGTGAGTGTGTAGGCATGGCGAGAAGTCGGTGCTGTTGGTGGTTTGTTTTGGTCCGCCCAGTGCGCTCTGGGTGAATTTGGCCAGCGGTTTGACGTTTTGGTGATTTGGCGAGAAATGGTTGCTTTCTCATCCCGGTTACATGGTGATCATAACATCCGCTAACGCGGGCTCGAGCACTGCCCCTCGAATCTGGCCGTAACAATTGAGACTGTCGCAACACCAGAGAAGAGCATGAGAGAAGCTAACTAATAGCCGGCAGATTATACCCGCGAGCATCAAGATGGTCTGTCATCAGCACTGAACGTGCTCGTTACCACTAGATGCGCGCAGGTGCGACTAAATTGACTAAATCATGTCACACCATTTCACGCACCAAGGGCCTTTGGAGCGCCTTTGTTGTGTACCCTCGCCACCCGCGACTTGACAAGCTGCACCAAGCTGCCGTTTTCCCACAGAGATGCCCTCAGAAAGCGGGCCTATCGCGTCGTGCAAGTACGATGTCGTAAGGCCGCCCACCCCCAAGCCCCCCATCTTTGACCAACTTGGGGTCCCTGCGGGCTTCACAGCATGCTTTAGCTATGAGCATCCGCTGGGCTAGATGAGATGTCCGACTTAGCCAGCGCAACACCACAATGACAATTCCAGTACCACATGTGGTTTTGCTGGCGCACTGGCGAACATCTAGGTTCAGCCATTTACACCAATGTCGAAATGAAGCATGACACAAGGAAACCCCTCCTCCCCTTCCCCCCCAAAGAACATCCCCCCCTTCCCCCCCTCCCCCCCCTCCCCTCCCACTCCCCTCCCCACCCCCTCCCCCGCAGATGCTCCGACCTCTATGGGACATGTGCAAAAGGTTTTTTGTGGTTGCGTTTGGCACCTTTGTGCCCTCTCATGATGAGTTCCTAATGTCGTATTGTTGATGCACAAATGTAAGATCCTTAACAGTTTTGCACTCACCAGCGGATGCTGCGAATGTTTCATCGGTTGTTTTTTGTTGCTGGTCGTCAAAGTGCCATGTGTCAAACTTCACATCTGGTTATTGCTTATACTGGCCGGAGACAGTTTTCGGAGGTCCCTCTCGTCTTCTTTTTCTCACGCAAAAGTCACTGGTTCGTTGTCTCTTTTCCCTTTCACATGTTGTGTGTGTGTGTGTGTGCGTGCAGGGACGTGCGTGAGCGTGCTTTGATACGCTGGTGTGACGTGTGACACAGGGTCAAAAACTTTCACGTTCTCTGAGAGCGGGCGCCCCTCGAGGTGATCGATTTCGACACATTGGAATCATGGTGCCCCTCCAATGCTTCGGCCAAGGCTAGGGCGGCCAGGTAGATCAGCACAGTTCTGGTAGCTCCAGTTGCCAGGTGCAGTTGCAAGCAAGATTCGCTTGAATCGCCAGCGGCGTTTGCGTTGGATTCCTCGTGGCTGCGGGCCTGACAGGATGTGGTTGGCACGGACCAGTATATTTCCCAGGCCTGTCAATGCCAGCACGACGGTGGACTGACACCGCAGCCTTGTAAATCATCCCAGATTGTATTGCTTGCATTGGGGTAGAACTCTCGTGGGGTCTTTGCTTGTTCCTGTTTCTCAAAGAGCCCTGGCAAGGAAGCCTATGCCGGGAAGTGCCCACCCGTTCTTCGTCATTTACATTCGTTGCCACTCGTTTTTGCATGCACGCGCTCGCTCTCTCCCTCTGCCTCTGCCTCTCCCTCACCCTCTCCCTCGCCCCTCAGCATGTGAGTACTGGCTTCTGCGGGCATTGTATGTCACGATTCGGTATTGAGGTAGGGCCACCAGGCAGGGCTTGTGAGGGGAGGTTGTAGGATGCAAGACCTCTCTTGGTGACCTTAGTTTGCCGTGGACATTTGAAGTCCCGACGACCATCTGAGTCTGGGGCACGCGCCTCACATGCTGCCAGGTATTCGCCCCTGTCGGACATCTTTGCCTGTGGGGTGATTCTGTACAGACTACTGACAGGACTCATGGGCTGAGTACTGGTAACAGGCATCCAGGTGCAGGTGCTTGACCTCTCCAGCTCCTGCACTTTCGTTCTTTGCCAGGAAAGTTTCCGTTTCACGACGACATGTTTGATGATGAGGTGTGGCTTGCTAGTGAATGCCAGATTTCGAAGTCATGTCAGCCATATTCAGCTTGATCGTAGTAGGTGTTTGCTCACCAAAGTAAGGGTTCCCAGTTCGCATGTCCAGCAGAGTAAGCTGTCCTGGCTTTTAAAGGTCCTCAAAGCACTTGTTTGCATCATGCAGCAAGCCTTTGCTGGTCAGAGCGCGTTCAGGCTGGCGAGAACTGGGTCGGCAGCCCCAAAATGGCCCAAATTCGGCGAAGGCTGAAAGTGGCCAAGGCCACGTTCCCTTATAGCAGTGTTGGCCAAGGGCTGAATGATGTGCACCAGCAGGATGTGTGATTATGGGGCAGCAGATAGATTTAACATGTTCCGCGGCAACATTCGATGCAATCAGGTTTTGGCGCATCTTTGCATATCCCACCATCCACGTGCAGGTAGACTTCTCAAAGGAAGTCTTCCAAGAAAACAGCGATGCTGGCGATCTTGCTGCCGCCTCAACGGCTTCGATGGCCTTACTTGCAGCTGTGGTTTGCGAGATCTGTGAGATTTTCGAGCATCCCAGAGCAAGTTTGTAAGTATGCCCGGGCCAGAGTTCCATCCCCAACATGTGTTGCCCTCATGTGCTTGCAAGACCTGCAGACTTCAACTTGATTTGCAGCAGCAGCTCCACTGTCAGCTATTGATATTGGTTGTTCGGTCTCAGACGTGTCGAGCTGTAAAGGTCATGCGCATGCTTGCGCAGGAAGCTCAGACGCCTCCCTCATGACATGTGGTGTCCTCTCAGCCGTGCTGCGAGTCATGCCAGTGCGGAGAAGCCGTCGATGCCAATGCAGCCATATAGGATCCACGATGCCGGGGCAACCCTAAACCCTAAACCCTAAAACCCCAAACCCTAAACCCGAAACCCTAAACCCTAAACCCTAAACCCTAACCCCTAAACCCTAAAACCCCAAACCCTAAACCCATGCTGATTCTTCCCCGCCCAGGTACCAGGAAAACCAGAGACCGACCGCCTCCGCGGCATTAGAGCATCCTTGGTTCCAGGCTTGGCATCTTGGGTTCATTTTCCTGGTTCAGCATGCCCTATATATATATATATTATATTATATTATATTATATTATATTATATTATATTATATTATATTATATTATATTATATTATATTATATTATATTATATTATATTATATTATAAAAAATCATAATCATAATAGTCATAGTAATGATAACAATCATAATAATCATAATGATCATAAAAATCATAATAATAATAAGAATAATCATAATAATCATAATAATCATAATAATCGTAATAATCATAATAAGCAAAAAATCATAACAATCATAACAATCATAAGAATCATAAGAATCATAAGAATAATAATCGTAAACAGACTGGCGCAAAGTAGAACTAGACTTAGCATGCAAAATCATAGGTTCGAGTCATGAGAGCGGCCTCCACACCCTGAGGGGGTTGGAAGGCCTCACATTCTTTAGGACTGCGTTGAAAAGCCGGGTGACACCAGGCACAACGCGGGTTCCTGGCTCATTTCGTTTGGGGCGAGGGGGGGCTCCGTGGGGGGGCTTTTCTTTCCCCAGGTTCGGGGTGGAGGCCGAGAGGCCTTGAAAGGGTCCAAGGGAGCTTGCGGGAGGAATGGAGGAATGAAGCCTTACGACTTATGCCATCTGGGATGGCTGCAACATGTTGCAACATGCTGCAACATGGCGTAACATGTTGTACCAGGTTGCAACACCGCACCGGTCAGTGTGCCATGCAACTCTTAAACGTTATGCACGTGTTGCGAAGGACTCGCGCGCGGCTCCGCAGGTGCCGCCCTACATCCAGGACCGCTTTGCTAAGCATCGCACTCACTCATTCAGAGATGCTCAGACATGTTCAGATGCTCGGAATGCCGTTGCGATTGGCGTTGTCAGCCAGACATTGGATTGACTGATTGACTTGGTGGGCAGTGGCCAGCGCCTTGGGGGTTGCATCCTGTGATGGGATAGAGGCCGAGTTTCATCAGTAGTGGGCAGAACAGTTGAGCAGTTTTTTAGTCATCGGCCATGTGCAATCCCTAAACCCTAAACCCTAAACCCTCAACCCTCAACCCTAAACCCTAAACCCCAAACCCTAAACCGGTTGCAGGAGCTAGTGGACGATGGCATCGTTGTCGGCGAGGCCAGAAGCATCCATCCCACTTCAAGTAGGGCAGACAGAAGAGTTGCGATGAGCTCATGCAGTCTTGGGGGTTTAGGGTGTAGGGTTTAGGGTTTAGGGATTAGGGTGTTGTGTGGCCACAATATGGTGTTCCGCAAACAGGCGTTGTTGAAAGCTTTCTACACTAACACCAGAACACCAGCGACGCTGCACTCGTGGCAGGGCCTGTGAATCTCTCTCTGCATTGTGCCAGGCGTAGCCTCGGCAAGTGCTGAGCCTGCACGCTTTTCTGAGTCGCGAGTGGCTTCTGTGACATTGGACGACTGCTGCGTCGGGTCTGACCTTTCTTCGGCTGTGAGTACACTCAAGAATCAGCGATGGACGATTTTATGGAGCGTGTCTGAAGCCCTCGATGGTCTTAGAATGTAGCTGTTTCATCTATTTTCAAGACAGAGTCGTTCTCATCGGCTCCGGAAACACACCAGTGCTGGTTGCCATTTGACAACCTCAGCTAGCAAGTGCGAGCTTGGGGCAGTAGAGAGGCATCTGACAAGGAGTCTGCTTCATCACGGCAATGTTGGCAAAAGCTTGATGTCCATTCTCATGGTGTCCAATTTTTTGGCTCGGACAGAATAGAATGTGTTTGTGTGTCCAGTTCGTTCCCAGGCAGCGCGCTTTGCTTGCTAGCATCATCGGTGCTACTAGTTGATTAAGAATCCCTGCCAAAAAACACATTCTTCCTTATCAAGGGTAGTATGAGGATTTATATTTTTATTCTGCCTTATTACGGGTAACATAAGGATGATTATTTTCATTCCTTTGGGGTTCTGAAGCAAATAGCAGGGTGGTACGGAGACAGTCGAGACCAGGTGAAGTTTGCGAGCGGCTTTGCGCGATGGCCGGTGCGCCGACTTGTTTTTGCCCGAGGGATTGAAGCAGATTGGAACCACTACCAATTGCTTAAGAACCCCACCCCCCCCCCCCCCCCCCCCCCAAAAAAAAAAAAAAAAAATAAAAATATTCTTCCCTATAAGGGAAATATAGGGATTATTATCAATGTTTTGGGGGTTCGTAAGCAAATAGTAGACTAAGCTTGTGACTAGATATGCTGAGCCGTCATAGTATTGCACGCTCCGTTTGGCTCAGGATTCTGGCTCTCATACACTCGTACTGAGAGGGAGGGAGAGAAAGAGAGAGAAAGAGAGAGAGAGAGAGAGAGAGAGAGAGCGAGAGAGAGAGAGAGAGAGAGGGAGAGCGAGAGAGAGCGAAAGAGAGAGAGAGAGAGAGGGAGAGAGAGGCGAAGGAGGGCTGAACGAGGCTAAAGGGAAAAACAACCCAACATGAGATAATAGCAATGCATGTTTTTGTGCCGACAGCTCGGGCAAATGGCCGCAAAGTGTGTTGGTGGTTGTTGCTGCTTTACACTTGCGATACACCTATGGGGGGGGGGGGGGGGGCGCCCTCTCCCTTTCTCAGCCAACCGTTTCGTTGTCGACCAAAGTGTCACCAAGAGACATCGTGGAGTCCCTGGGTGCCGCTAGGGTCATTTCGGTTGCTGGGGGGGGGGAGACCTCGTGGAAACACAGAAACCATGGGAGGATCACGTTCGGTATTCATGTTGCCTGGGCAGCACTTAGGGGTGGGAAACATCTCTCATTCTAGCATGGACAAGCCGGGTGGTCAAACGGCTGCATGTTTTTTTTGCCCATGAGTCCACCCAAACTGCACATGGGGAGCTCACACGCATTGACTCTTTGACTCGTTGTCGTTCCACTTGTTAGGGTGTGTTCTGTCCTAAACCCTAAACCCTAAACCCTAATGTTAGAGTCGCTTTAATAAACCCCCCCCCCCCCCCAAATCTTGTTTTGGTCCCCGGGGTTTGGAGGGGTGGAAAAAAAGAGGGGGTGTCAATTATGAGGATTCTGGGGGTCTGGGGTCTGCGGTCTGGGGGTCTAAAGGTTTTAAGTAAGGAAACCTGGCTTTGAGATCTCTGGCGGCTTCCTGAATTCCAGGACCCGAAGGCTGAAGTCTTAAGCTTCAGGGATTCTTGCCTTGAGACTAGGACCCGAAGCCTGAAGTCTTGAGCTTAAGGGTTCTTGTCTTGAGACTTAAAGGCAGCCATTTAAACTTGAGGCTTCCTTGGTTCCCCCCCCCCTCGCCGAAATTATTATTGCCACCCATTTACTATTGTCATTTTGGAGGCCCATAAGGGGTACCCTTTCCGGACTTGTTTTCGAGCCCCGGCGGATAAGGATTTTAGTAAAGAAACCTTGCTTTCAGACCTCTGGCGGTTTCCTGAATTCCAAGACCCGAAGGCTGAAGTCTTCAGCTTCAGGGACTCTTATCTGAAGCCTTAGAGGAAGACCTGCTCCTCTGAAGAAAGAGGCCTGAAGCAGCAGTTTCTCGCAGCTCTGGAGCTGCAGCAATCTCAAGAGGCACCTGCTTCTCTGAAGAAACAGGCCTGAAGCAGCAGTTTCTCGCAGCTCTGGAGCTGCAGCAATCTCACAAGACAAGCAATCTCAAACGAGATCTGCTTCTCTAAAGACTGAGCCTTGGAGCTCTTTCAAGCCAGCTCAGCTGAAAAGTCTTCTCTGCAATGGAACTCTTAAGCCATTTTCAGTAAAATTTTCAATTCCTGGCCAGAGAAATTTTACAATTGCCACCCCATTCTTATTATCACCAGACCCCCCTATATAGACTTGTTTACATACATCGGCCCGAAAACCTCCCGTAATGGAAAGTAGTCTTCGGCTGGGGCCCTCTGGCCTGGCGAATATTACTATTGCCACCCCAATTAAAAAAGCCACTCTCACATTAAACCCTAAACCCTAAACCCTAAACCCTAAACCCTAAACCCTAAACCCTAAACCCTAAACCCTAAACCCGAAACCCGAAACCCGAAACCCGAAACCCGAAACCCGAAATCCAAACCCTAAACCCTAAACCCTAGCCCCTAAACCCCCTAAACCCTAAACCCCCCGGATTGCCGACACATGCTCACACGCCTTCACCACGCACCTCGCACCTCCGTGCAGCGGCGGCCTTGGCCAACTTCGGGTCAGCAAGCCGGCAAGCCGAGCAGCAAGCTGAAGACGCTTCTTTAGGGTTTAGGGTTTAGGGTATGGGGCCCCGGCCAGTGGCAGCTCACGCGCTGCCAGGAGCTGGTTCAAGCTCATCGAGGGGCAGATCGTGAGCCACGCGATTAAAATCGATCAGAGCTGGGTTTGAGCCAGACAGACCACCATCGGGTTGGACTTCTGTTGATGCGCAAGCCTCTCTCAGAGGCTTCAGGCATGGGATTGAATCACAGCATTGGCAAATCCTCCCGTTTTCTGGCTGTTTGGATTCCGATTTTGAGACATGTGGGACAGGGCTAGGAAGAGGCACGGGCGACGCCACGAGAGTGCGAGACTTGAAGAAGGAAAGCATTGCCATGCAGCGCCGTGCGACAGCGCATGTCGGGAGCTCCAAAAGGCACTTCTCCCGACATGAGATGTTACCGTTCGCCCCGTCTCAAATCGACGATTCTCCGCAACAGCGTGACCACGGGCGCCCAGTCTCAGCGCCTCTGAGCGCTAAGGCTGGGGACTGGCAGAAGTGGTAGAACCTCGTGCACCGGTTGGTGCCAGAGTAGTGGTGACAAAGCAGACGGAGGGAGGGCAAAGCTGTCGCCTGCAATGCCCTACAAAAGTTTGAACCCTAAACCCTAAACCCTAAACCCTAAACCCTAAACCCTAAACCCTAAACCCTAAACCCTAAACCCTAAACCCTAAACCCTGTACGGTAGAAACAAGCTACAAAAGTTTGAGCCCGACGAAGAAAGTTGGGCACTCCCCTGATGAAAACAGGTGCAGGCTTTGAAATCAAGCTGGACGACCCCGAGGCTGACCTCTCACAGGCCATTTCTGCATGTGGAGTGCAAGTCTTCACATAAGAATCGCACTTGGTTGAATCTGCAGTCACGTGCGAGCGGCAGAGTGCCCGCTGCCAGGATCAGTATGAGAAAGTCGTGGACAACTTCAAGCTGCTGGATCAAAGCAAGACTGGCCAGGTGCTGAGCAAAGCCTGGGAAGAACCCTAAACCCTATAAACCCTATAAACCCTATAAACCCTATAAACCCTATAAACCCTATAAACCCTAAACCCTAAACCCAAGGGGCACCCAGCCTCGCTGCAAAAGCAGCTGTTGCGCCTATCTGAGGACGACTCAATGCGCAGCAGGCCTGCCTGAGTTGCCTCGCTTGAGGGTGAAGAGCACGGAGAGCCAGGAAGACTCATGTGGGTGGCTGTCAAAATTAGGGTTTGGGGTTTCGGGTTTCGGGTTTCGGGTTTAGGGTTTAGGGTTTAGGGTTTAGGGTTTAGGGTTTAGGGTTTAGGGTTTAGGGTTTAGGGTTTAGGTATTGGATCCCTATTTTGATACGGCACCTAATATTTAGGGCGCCCCACAAGGGATCGTAATTTTGACAGCCACCCATGTGACTGCATCCGATGGCCTTGGCATCAAGTGAGCAGCATGTCGCATGTTGGCCCAGACCCAGGTGGGGATTCTCTTCCGGGCATTTGGGCAAAACCCCACAGATGAGGAGCCGGATGTCAAATTTCATCGCACCTGTAAGCCAGGGAGATGCAGCCTAACCTCCAAGTTCACTCCATTGAAGCTCCTGTGTTCAAGCATTCCTTGAGTCTTCATCATTCCGGTTCCAATCATTCCGATCATTTTGCTGCTGCTTTTGAGAGGAGCTTGCGGAGATGCTTAGACCGATCCCGCAGGTCGGCTTGGATGCGACTTGGACAGATGGATCACCGTGTGAAAGTTTGCATGGATGGGCATTGTTTGCTCCCTATCTTCCACAACAGTCGGTTGCCTTGCTCGTGACACCTTGGGACCCTCTTCCCATGCTTTAGGTCGACGGCTTCATTCGGTTCTTCAAAGGCAACTACAGGCTTGCCATTCTTCGCGCTTGTGTCACAAGTGCGTAGCGTAGTTGAAGCACGTGTTCATTTGGTCTTGTTGTCTACATTTGATAGGTGCCCCTCCGTGCATCTGTGCTTGCGCGCGAGCGTGCGTGCGAGCCTGCGTGGGTGTGTTTGTGTGTGTGTGTGTGTGTGTCTCTGTGTGTGTGTGTGTGTGTGTGTGTGTGTGTGTGTGTGAGTGCTTGGTATTTGTGGGTGCGTGAGTGAGTAGGTGAGTGAGTGAGTGAGTCTGTGCGCCGTAGAAAGGGAGTGAGTCATGGTTGAAACATATTCGTTTCACGCAGTAGATTGGACATATCTGCTGCGCTTGCACTGTGCAGGCATGCGCAGACTCAAGCCCTGCACGAACTAGCCCTGCTGCCACTGCAACCCACGCCTTGCAACATGAGGGCAGAGGCAACTTTGCGTTCGCAATCATGATCATTTGCAACATCCTTGTGCTTGCTCTGTGCAACAACGAACCGGAATGGTGGCCTTACTCCCAGTGAGTTTTCAATCCGGCTCGCCTCTTAGGGACAGTCTTGAATCAGCACCAATTTTGGATTAGGGACAACGGCATCATCATTACCGTCCAAAAAGCCAATTCCAACAAAACACGGCTTTTTGTTTTAAACATATGCCGCTTGGCAGGAAAAACTTGTGAAAACACGTCGTTTCACTCCAAAGGGGTGGGAGAATCAAGATGCTTCCGTTGCAGTTGTTTGATAGTTCAGATTGCTGTTCTCAGGACGCCGACCACCGAAGACACGCTGTTGAAGGCATTCCAGGCGTGGCATTGGCCCAAAGCAGGTAGGCTGTAGACACCATCTTTCAGCGCCAGTGCTAAAGATTTCCACACCGGATATAAGAAGCTGGATGCTGATGCCCCATAGCACAGGTCGTTAAGAGCTGGCAAGTCGATAGCCTGAACCGTCTCCCTGAGAAGGTTTTTGATCTGGAAGACACCGGCATCATGAGCCGTGAGAAGTTCAAGGCCAGTCCATGATGGATCCGTAAGTTGGCGGTCCTTAATCAGGGGGATGAGGATGTTAGGGGTACCTTCTTGAGGTCCTCTTGTAAGGGGATTCTACTATTTGGGGGTCTATATGGGGGTCCCCAGAGCCTGCTCCACACAGGAGATGCTGACGTCTCTGGGCGATCCCATGCAGGAGCACGAGGCCGTTCAGCAGCTGCAATCGCTAGCTGGTGCTGGGCTTCTCCCCATGTAGTGCCAATCCAATATCTCCACTTCCTCCACACGTTCGAGCTCGGATGCTGCGCATTCGCAAAGGGGCGCAGCGCTGCAGAGAGCTCGATCAACGCATGGGCACTCCCTCTGCAAGCCACATGATGGTTTAGGGTTTAGGGTTTAGGGTTTAGGCTTTAGGGTTTAGGGTTTAGGGAGTTGGGGGAGTGCTGCAAAGGGCTGCAATGTGCTGGAAAGTGCCGCAGAGCTTTGACCAGGTCGATGCCATCCTGAGAGAAGCTGAGGTGGACGAGAAAGGCCTGGGATCTGGCATGACTGCTTCATGAAAGAGTCATTTTCAGGTGTGTCGGCATGAGGCGCGCCAGATGTGAGCCTCACTGTAAGCTGGGCGAGACTTGGTTCATGTGTTTCATCACGCATACTTGGCAACCCGAACGGAAACCATCAGCTGGCACTAAGTTTAGGACATGCTGGCAGGTGCTTAGTAGTGTGAAAGTGCATGCGTGCGTTTATGGATCAGTCTTGAGCCCCCATATCTGACATGAGTTCGGCTTCCTGGACTGCTCGACAGCCCGACTGCCAGGCCTGTTTGATTACAAGTCCCTGGCCAAGCGTCTGTGTGAAGGGCCAAAGCGCATACCAGACATGCCATAACCAAGAGGTCGAAGCTTTCATCACATGCTGTTCAGCTGGCTTCTTTGTGCGGACTTCGGAAGGCAAGTTGGGTATTGCTTGGCAGCTGGATTTCACTAGCTGCGCCTAGGCTCACGTGTCACTGGCATGCAGCGCATGTTTCTCTGCACCGAGCCTGTCAAGGCAAGGCAATACATAAGAGGCTCGCACGAGAAACTGCGAACGGGCGAAGAATGAACACCGTTCAAAGCCCCGGAGCTTTCTGCCGATGTTTGCGGAATTCGAGGGTTCGCATGCGGCTTTGCACTTAAGGATCCGAATAGAAAGGTATGTAGATTAATTACATATATATGTATATATGGATGTAACATCTACAGTCATATTATATATATATATATATGTGTGTGTATATATGTATGTATTATGCGCACCTTCCCATGAACCCACCTTATTTCTGATTTCTGCGGGTTTGCATACGTTCTTATACGAGTCTCGTTGTATACGTTTGGAGATGCTATATAGCTCCCAGAAGATCAGAAAATCATCAAACCCAAGCTTGTTCGGAGCTTCTTCCAAGAAAGCTTGGGTTTTGGGATTTGTGCAACTCAATTTGCATAGGAAGCCCTAGACAGGCCCAAGCAGGGCGTTGGCGTAGTAGATGCGTGAACATGCTGTAGAGTGTGCCAGTTGCGTGTATCAGAGGAAACATGTAGTCAGCACTCAGCACACACTTTTTGTCCAGCAGTTTAGCTGACACATCTTGATAAGCTATAAAGAGGGCCTTGCATGTCGAGGTTTTCGCGGCTAAATAGTATGCCAGTCGAATCACAGCCCGACGACAGCTATGAGATAAGAAGAGGAGTGGAAACTGACAGCGGATCATACAGAACCAGACGTGTCTAACAGAAATTCACTGGACGCGCGATATCCCGGACGGTTGTCCTCGCCATTCACTCGCTCACGCCGCCGAGTGAAAACGAGTTATGGGATGTTGAATGCAGCCATCGAACAATGATGGTCCAGGACGGCTAGGCCTGCTTTCAGTTGGGGCAAGATTTCTCGGCATAGCAGAGGAGGTCTTTGACCGATTCTTGAACCGATTCTTGGACCGGAGGCGTTTTGCTTAGCAGGCGATCATGTTTTGTTTGGTGTTGATAGTGCGAGTGCTTTGTTGCTGGCAGCCACTTGGCCACTCGTTCGCTGGCCACAGGTAGTTTCAGTGATGTTCATGCAAATTGGCACATCCTACTAGTACCCGCAGCACAACATTTATGCGGTATAAACATAAATGCACGTTTTGTTTATGCGTGTTGATACTCTTTTCTCACGCATCTATTGTCTCCATAAGCCATGGGCGTGCCGGGCTTCTACCGATGGGCAGTGCGCAGAGTGCCCCACCTGCGAGCGAAAAGCACTGGCCCTCCGTATGAGCAGCTTGGATTTCAGCTTAGTGACTTCAGTTAAGGCAACGGTTAGCAGCATCGCCATTAGCACTTTCCCAAGCTTGTGCTGTTCTGTGCGAAGTGACCGTCTAAGCAAAGCGTAGTCTGGTACTGTCTGGTAATTTTGCAACTTCATTCCGCCAGGTTTGATAACCTGCCACTTTGCTGCAACCGAGCCACAGACAGCGTCAGAAATTGTGGAGTCATGGGTTTGCTCAGTTTGCTTGGGGTTCTGGCATTCTTCATCTGGCGCACAATTCGACTGGAGCATGGCTGGCTTCTGCAAAGAACTCTAAGTTGAGGTACTTGGACTTCAACGGAGTCGTCCACACATGCGTGAATGATTGGACGCTTCAAGAGGAGGAGGAGTATCTCTTTCAGCTTGTCGAGGCACAGTGCGAATCATTCAGGTGTGATGCTGGGGGGCAACTGAATGAAGACCCTCAGTCCAGACACTGCGTGTTGGGGCATCTCTTCCACCCCCCCGCCTGTCGGCCGATTGGCATCTCACATGCCCGAAGGCGCAGCTCGCCGTGCTGCTGTCCCTTGTGACTCCCAAGGCTTCGTCTGGGAGTCTGGGTTCTCTAATGATAAGGGAGCAGGGGGAACCTAGAGCTCAACGCCGCCCTCGCTCCATTGCCGCAGCGGATAGTTGACCAAAAGAAGGGACCCCGAATAATTATAGAACCCAAATAGTAGGATTCCCTGACAATAAGGACCCCAAAAAGGTTTCCCTAATCTCGTAAACCCTAAACCCTAAACCCTAAACCCTAAACCCTAAACCCTAAACCCTAAACCCTAAACCCTAAACCCTAAACCCTAAACCCTAAACCCTAAACCCTAAACCCAGATCTTTCAGGTGCTGCTTTATGTGGCTCTGGATGGGGTGGCGCCGAGGGCGAAGATGAACCAGCAGAGGTCGAGGCCGAACTCCTCCTTCGCTGTGCTCTTGCGCACTGAATTCCTACAGCTTGGGATGTTCCCCCTTATACTAACAGTCCTTACTAGGGATTATTTAGGCTGTAGGCTTTAGGGTTTAGGGTTTAGGGATTAATAATGCCTATTAAGGACTTTGAGTATAGGGGGGAACATTCCAACCTACAGCCACCACCACATGGAGAGGCGTTTTCGAAAGGCCCAAGAGACGGATTCCGATGGCATCGATGCCGTGGTTGATGTTTTCGCCGCTGCCTTGGTCGCTTTAGGCCGCTTTGCCTTGGCCTCTTTGCTCATGCAGTCGCAACTCATCTTGACAATGCCTTCTAAAGCACGCTGGCCGAGGATCGCAACGCCATCACTCCTGGGTGCCGCGGCTGCAAGCGACAGCATAGTTCGGGAGAACTAGAGAGAAAACACCCCCAAAAACAGCACAGAGCCTCACGTGTGGTATTCCGGGTAGAACTCTCAGTCGGAGTCGGCCCTCAGTCTCGACGCTTTTTTTGTCCTCCAGGACCCCTTTCATGCAGCGCCTGTCAAATCGGCTGCGGAGCTGGGCCGCCACCCAGGCTCCGGGGATCTGGACATGCAGGGGTTAGGGGTTTAGGGGTTTAGGGGTTGAGGGGTTGAGGGGTTTAGGGGTTTAGGGGTTTAGGGGTTTAGGGGGGGGGGGTTTAGGGGTTTAGGGGTTTTTAGGGGTTTAGTTTAGGGGTTTAGGGGTTAGGGGGGTTTCGGGGGGGGTTTAGGGGTTTAGGGGTTTTAGGGGTTTAGGGTTTAGGGGTTTAGGGTTTAGGGGTTTAGGGGTTTCGGGGTTTCGGGGTTTCGGGGTTAGGGGTTTAGGGGTTAGGGTTTAGGGGTTTAGGGGTTTAGGGGTTTAGGGGTTTAGGGGTTTAGGGGTTTAGGGGTAGGGGTTAGGGTTAGGGGTTTAGGGGGGTTTAGGGGTTTAGGGGTTTAGGGTTTGGGGTTTAGGGGTTTAGGGTTTGTTTAGGGGCTTAGGGGTTTAGGGGTTTAGGGGTTTAGGGGTTTAGGGGTTTCGGGGTTTCGGGGTTAGGGGTTTAGGGGTTAGGGGTTTAGGGGTTTAGGGGTTTAGGGGTTTAGGGGTTTAGGGGTTTAGGGGTTTAGGGGTTCAGGGGTTTAGGGTTTAGGGTGTGTGGGGACATCGGCTACAACATGCTAAAACGCATCTGCGCACCCTGGCGCTCCTTGTGCCTGGTTTTGAGGCTGCGGTACCCGACCTTCAAGGACTGAGTATTGTCATCTCCTGTGATCTCGATCCAGGCCTGATTGGGAGCTGGGCAGATCTGGGCGGTTTGACTGCTGAACTCGGTTCCAGACGGTTTCCGTGTGCATGATGGTGCTTGGGTGGATTGGCCGCAGGCGAAGGCGAGCACAAAATCATGGAGGTGATCAGGCATTTCTGTTGCTGGGGGCTCGTGAAAGCAACGTGCTGGGTGTGGCTGAGATTTCTGGCAGGAATCATCCAGAACACACGCACTGCCTTTGCAGCAACGACGCGGACATGTGGCTGTCGAGTGAAAGTTCTCGAGTCCCTATCTTCGGAAGTACTTTGACATGTTGAGACACGTTGGCTTGATGAGTTTGATGCTGCCTAGTATTTGGCCGTAACGTGCAAACAGGATCTCGTGTTCCTCGGGCTCGTGTGTGAGTCTGAGCACGTGTACCTGCTCCGGACGAAGCCCAACTACGAGAAGAGGGTGCCTACGAACACCGGGCAGCCCCAGGTGCGACTCCCAATGCTCGAATCAGTCCGCTGCAAGCAGAGCTTTGCCGATTAGACTCCGCCGAGTCTCTCTTACTCTTGTTATTCTTCTTCTTCTTATTATATATTCTTCTTACTATTATTATTATTATTATTATTATTATTATTATTAGTACTAGTATTATTATTATTATTGTTATTATTATTGATATTTCAGAGTCTCCCCGAGGCAGCGGAGGCCATGGACTCCGACGCCGTCCCGGAAATGCCGGTGCCCGCAGCTCCGGCAGCGGCCGCATCGGCAGGGCCCATGGCCGAGGTGCTCGTGGCGAAAGTGGGTTTGGGGTTTAGGGTTTAGGGTCTAGGGTTCAGAGTTTAGGGTTTAGGGTTTGGGGTTTAGGGTTTGGGGTTTAGGGTTTGGGGTTTAGGGTTTAGGGCTTGAGTGCTTGGATGAGTATTAGGGGTAATTCGAAACACGACTCTCCAGAGCGAAGTCCGCAGTGGTATGGGAATGTTCCGGAGTGCTGCATGTTGCTGCGCCTCGGGCCTGGAGATGCCGTGGTAAGAGCCGTGTAAAAGGGCCATCAAGGGCAGAGGTACCCGACACCCTAAACCCTAAACCCTAAACCCTAAAGCCTAAACCCTAAGGCCCTGAGCCCTAAGCCCTGAGCCCTAAGCCCTAAGCCCTAAACCCTAAGCAGGACTATGAGATGCTGAGCATCGTGGCTCTGCGCGCCTGGCTGTCCAGCCAGTTTCCAGACTGCCTACCGTCAGCTGCTCAGACCTTGCGATAGCTTGGGATAGGAAGAAAGCAGAACGCTGGACCGCTCAAAGCCTCTTCGAGACACAAGTCCATATGCACTGCTCATCCTGCTCTTCGTGACCCGGTGACACTGCAGGAATCGATTATTAGCAGACTTTGTCGCGATGTGCTGCTTGGTGGGCAACGACTTCCTGTGCCCTGGCATATGCTTGAGAAGCATCAGTGTTGAGCGACTGCTTGTTTTGTTGGCAAGACAGCTCAGACCCCACATAGCTGCGGTCGACATCTACGACGGCGGTCTTGACAAGCTTCTGGCAGCCTACTACCGGCTGAAGCCTGCTTTGAATGGGCACCTGGACTTGGAGATAGTGGCTTCACGCTTTAGGGTTTAGGGTTTAGGGCTTAATTAGGGCTCAGGGTTTAGGGTCTTGGTGTCTTGGTTTCGGGCCCCATGTGGCTGGACGGGTCAGGTACTTGACCACGTCAGATCTCACACTGAACTTACCCCGATGGCGCGGCTTGCTGGAGCAGGTTGCGCAGGAGGGCAAGGGATGGCAAAGAGGGCGCGCCAGGATGCGTAGCATGGCGGCGCGCGCGGCGTAGTCTATCATCTTTGAGCATTCTTGAGGACTCTAAACCCTAAACCCTAAACCCTGAGCCCTGAGCCCTAAACCCTGAACCCTAAACCCTAAACCCTGAACCCTAAACCGAGTCTACTTTGAGTCAGGAGGAGGCTGAGCTCTTGCTGACTACGCTGGGCCTTGGCTGGGGTCCCAAGCAGCTGCCCTATCGTGGTCCTGGCCCGCCTGTGTCGACCTGGGACGGTCTCTCCGTGGTCGTGTCACCTGTGCCACGGAAGACTACAGCAGCACAGCTCTCTGCTCCTCTGCTGGAGTTTGCAGTCTTGCCGCCACCTGCGCAAAGATGCGCAGTAGGACTGCCCGCTTAAAAAGTATGCCGGCGTAGGACCCCGAACAGTATTTAATTTAACAACATTCCGAGATCACTCCAGGGGCACCCCAAGAGCATCCCCCAAGAGCATTCCCCAAGAAACATAAGAAGACATACTCTCCAAGACCCCCACCCGCCTCCCCCAAGAAATGCAAACTCCTTGTTCCAGAACGGACGCGCGAAGCCATCCAAGAACCCTTCGAAGGGCAGGAAAGCGCGTCCTTGCCATATTTTTGTGCATAGTTTTGCAGATGTTGCACTTTGCAAAGATGTTTTGCACCAAGGCAGCAATGTCAAAGCAGGGCAGCATCGTGAAGAGCGTGCACCAACTCAAGCAGTCTCGAGGAAGCGCGTCTTGCACTTTGTCTCCCTCAGCGTTTTGGCAGGTGTTTCGGGTTTCGTAGTTGTGCAGTTGTCTGGCTGGTTCTTAGTAGGGAATGAGGGAATGAGGGCCCTATATAAGCCCTTAAAGGGTATATGTTGGGCCCTCATTCCCTCATTCTCCACTAAGAGCCAGGGAGTTGTCTCCCTAAACCCTAAACCCGAAACCCTAAACCCCAAACCCTAAACCCTAATTGGCAAGCTTGCATTGTAAAAGGACCCGCTTCTTGGCTCGTGCGCTTTGCGGACGCGGCCTCTGCTGCTGAAGCCTTACGTCTTGCGTCATAAGCCTCCTAGGTAGGATAAGGGGACCCTGAAAAGGGAACCCTTCTGAACCCTCTTCTGGCTCTCTTAAACAGGGACCTTATTCAGAGGGTCTATATCCCCAAGAGTCCCCCTTAATCCTATCCCCTAAAGCCTTGCAAGCCCCGCGCTGGTTACCGCCTCCCGTCCTGTTCGTCTCCACGTGCCTCCGCTGGGTTGCAAATCGCGGCAGGAAAAATTGAAAAAACTAGTCAAGATAAGCCAGGATAATCTTCTTGGAGGGTCTGAGCCCACCATCTCGACATACGCCGGTTCCAAAGCGTGCCTTCGTATCTGCCGAAAACGTATGTGAATGCAGGACTCTTGGATTTTCGCATTGGGCATGTTTGCACGGTTTCCAATTTTTGTCAAGGCTTGGACAGTTTGCCTTTGCTTGTGTTCTGTAACTTCTGGCAATCGCGTCGCGATTGTTATCGAAGAATTGAGCTCAATTTCAGGTGCACTTAAATCTTAAACTTTGAAATTCTCAACCTCTGCCATGGAACGCACAAACTGATATATGGTCAAAATCACTCACTACTAGAACTCAAGAACTATTCTCTTTTGATACGCAAACAAAAGGTTCACAAACGACGTTTGAACATCACACAGAGTAAAATTAAACCTTGAACAAAGGTTGTGACTTCTGAATGCCAGGAGATATGACAAACATGTGACGAAGCATGAGGAGCCATGGTTGATGCATCATGATGAGATTTGATGAGTTATGATGGAAATATCATCATATGCCCTGTGGAACCCAGCCGTTGCTCCCCCTTGACCCAGTTGAAGAGGGACGAGACGGGATCTCAAGTGATCACAGCATCTGCGAGCATTACAAAATCGGCGGCGTTTTTTTGACATGCTGTTCTGGCCTTAATAATTAGAATAGGGTTTGAGACGTTATGATAGTATATTCATATAAGGGACCATAAGGGAATACTATGAGTATGGAGCTGCACAGGGGGCTTGTTCTCCAGAGGTCCGTTCTTTGGTGGCCACCCGCAGAGTCGAGACACAGCGGCTGCAGGTCATTCAGACGAATTTCGTGGTGGTGGGAAGTTGTAACTTGTAACTTGCAGTACGTGCAGTCAGCCCTGGCAAAGCTCTAGCAAGGTATTCAAGTCAAGTTTTATCATTCCGTCGCGAGGCCTCTTGGGCCTTGCCAAGCCGCTTGGAGTTCGAAGAAGCGGCCCCGGAACCAGAGGCGAGTTGTAGGGTTTAGGGTGTAGGGTTTAGGGTTTAGGGTTTAGGGTTTAGGGTTTGGGGTGAGCGCATAAGAGCAGAGCATGGCACTGAAACAACGAGAGAGGACTTGAAACCTCAAGCAAGGGGCGCGAATCTGAAGGTCCTTGCTTGTGATTTCCGAGAAAAAACAACATGGAAGTAAAGCGTTTGTTGGCAAGCTTGAAGGTTTTGCAGTGGCACTCACGTACTAGATGTTGCGAAAGTGTTCGATATGGACTCCTTTCTGCAGGCCTTGTTGTGTTGCTGAGTGCCTTGCGCTTGCCGATTGTATAGAGTTGGGGGTGTGGGGCTGCGTATGGAGGGCGTGCTGGTCTGAGGGTTCTGGTCTGAGGGTTTGACTTTGGCAAAAAAAACATTGTTTTCTGGGGGGTCGCGGGCTGCGGTTCCAGAAGGGGGCTCCAAAGGCATGCAAAGGGCCCCCCTAAAAACCAGAGAAAGCAACCTGGAAACAAACTGCCTGCAAAATTCTGCATCCTACTTTGTTTTATAACTTTCCCGAAAGCAGAGTGAACGGACAGACCTCTGATGCAAAGAGGTACGCCAACACAACCAGACCATGTGCAGATGCTGCCTCGAAAATAGACGTGCATGACGGGGAAGACCAGCAGCAAAAGAAGAATGAATCAACGTAGCAAGGCTGGCCAACAGTGCAGAGTGCCGGCAGACACATGAGACCGAGATCCCTAGCGTCGTCGCGTCGTCTACACGCCGCGCAATTCAGCCGAACACGTTCAGCCAGCGGGCGCATGGACGAGGTCGATGCGCAGCAGCGCCACGCTAGCTGGCAATGGATGCTGACACTGCAGTGGAGTTCCTGCCCCTGCCCAAGCACAAGCGTGTGAATCGACGCTCATTCCATCGAGGTTGTGGAACTGCATCCCCATGGCATGCGGCAATCGCTCGGCTGCGGCTGCGGCTGTGAAGCCATGTTAAAGCAACACTGGCACGAACACAACCGTAAGAATTCTTGCGCCAGCTGACAGAAAACCAGCTCATTGAGACGTCGCTGGCTCGGCTGCTCAGTAGAAGCGCGAACTGGGCACTGGGGGGACAGAACCCATTGCTAATCCCTTACGTCACCGTTGCTCCTGTGGTGGAATTTTCAAAAGTATTTGTTGAGTTCAGTACAAAAATACAGCTGTAACTTGCGAGTTGGAGATGCCCTATACGACCTTTGACGTTCTGTTGAAGATGTCTAAAGTCCAGCATTCTGAAACTCCGGCAAATGTTGAAGGCGATCCGCATACATGTTTGTACTATGTACGCAGCTGTAAATGTCTGGATCCTGTCGTGGGGACGCAGCAGATATGGACCAGAGGTTAAGGGACCGAGTGCACGACTTACAACCAAGCAGACAAACAAAGTCACAACCAGCCTGGCTTGGGAGGCCGCGGATTGGCAAGAGGAGTTGAACACGGCCGTTCGAGAGTCGTTCGAGTATTGGACGCTTGTCATCTGAGAGGCATCTTCACGCAAGTGGCCATGTGTCCTTGTTTGCCCGACTTGCCTTTGCACTCCCTAAACCCTAAACCCTACACCCTAAACCCTAGGTCAAAGGTTGAGGTGCCTCAGTTCGTTGAAGCCGTGCCCAGGCTTGGGCCGGAGAACCTTCCGAACGACTCGTTTCTCCGCAGGCATGTGCGCCAGCGAAGAGAGCCTTTGATGAACTTCGGACTTCCTTCGGCAAGATAGGTTCTGCATCACACGCATCAGCTCACAACTCATGCAGGTCCTTGAGTAAACCCTAAATCCTAAAGCCTGGACCCTAAACCCCAAACCCTAAACTGCAGTGGATTTTGAAGGGTCAGCAAGATGTCATGTGTACTGCCGATGGATGGGGATCAGAGGTGGGGAAGGTGAACTTCCGAATCACCAAGAATCATGCGCACGTAGACCCCCCCTCCATGATCTACCATGACGAGCTTTCATCCTCAATACCTCCGTAAAAAACCGATACTTCTCCATGATATCCTTGATATGCGAAAGCCTCTTTACGTAGTTGGTTATATTTTTCTTAAACACTGCACCCATCGCCCCTCAGCCGAGGATCGTTTTGTTCCGCTGCGGGTCTTCGTCATGTTCCGGCGCTTGCGCGTCTGGATGCAGGACCAAGCGCAGCTGGCCAAGGTTCGTTTAGGGTTCAGGGTTTAGGGTATAGGGTTTAGGGTCGTCTCTCGCGGGAGATGCAGCAAAGTGAAGGGATGTGCATGAAAGGCACCTCCCTCCAACTTGTCCAAAATTCAGATATTTGACTACTGTAGAAATAATACGAATAGCAATGTGAATAATAGTAATCATCATGTAATAGTGGAATCCCCCGTAAGCATGTAGCAGTGTAAGAAAAGCTCACAAGACGTGCTGCGCAGGTCCTGCGATCCTCCGAGCTCTTGGAAGTCTGGGGCGAAGGACGTCAAGCCTGGGTTCGTCACAAGGCTTCTTGTTTTTTTAATATATCCCCTATATATACCCTTTGAGGGATAACATACCCTTTAAGGGATTATATACCCTTTAAGGGATGAAAGAATTTAGGGTACCTCATTCCCTCATTCCCTACTAACCAACAGTAAGAAGGTGGATCACAGCCAGCGCCCCCATGAGTCGCCGGATCAGGCCGATGCACTGACTTCTGCAGTTGCTTTCTAAACCCTAAACCCCAAACCCTAAACCCTAAACCCTAAAAATGTGTTGTGTACTGGTCGGTGACTGGCAGATCGAACGGCAAACTGCCTGCTTGGAGCTGCTTGCAGCTCGTCGATTTGCTCCTTGCCATTGTCATTGTGGTGATTTGTGTGAGGAACCTCTCTGAACCACATGCCGACAGCCTGAGACAGCCTGAGGTTGAAGCTGTGCAGATGCTGCGGCCAGCATCTGGCCTGCAATTCTGCCCAAACTTGCCCAAAGCGCGCTGAGAAGTGCCAATTCGGTCCCAGGAATATTACGCTCGCTATGCCGGGCCTGTGGCCTGTGGTTCGCCTGCTGCGGACTCCGGGCACTAA